ACCTGTTCAACCATGAAGCCTTCGTGGTCTAGTGGTTATGACGTTCGCCTTGTCAGCGAGAGGTCGCATGTTCGAATCCCGTCAGAGGATTTTATTACACAATGACTTTTATAGGACTTTATTCGTTGAAAAGCTACAGGGTAGCCTACGATGTTCCATCATGTCCTTATTTAAAAACTGTATATGTACCTTTGATGATTTATATTATATATCTCATGATATAGATATGACTCTAAACCATCTTGCAGTAACGCTATATAAACAGCAATTCTCACTTGTGTAACTTGGCCTTTGACCTATTAAATTTCAACTACTTCAATCCAACTGTTCAACGTATGTACTTGTACATATGTTGCTTTCCAATAATGACAAGATGTTCCACCACATTGATCTTCAACACAATAGAATTTCACAGTAAAGAAGATTACCTTGGTGTACTGTGCACGTGGAAAATGATGAGTGGTATAATTTCAACAATTAATGGACAGAATATTGATTGTTCTAAAAAGATGCTCTTCTTACAATCTCATATCTTGTTAAATTTTAAGTATGAATGCCAGACTTTGCACATGATCATGTTGCTTTTGGGGAACCCCTCCACCTTTAGCAAAGCTCTATGCACCATTAAAATGACCTTTTTTCCCGCAGTGCAGGCAAGAAAGAGGTATTTGTACTCCAGTATTAGCATATCCCTGTGGGTGGGATCTGCCTCAGTTAGCATAAGGAAGGTGCCCTTTCACAAACAACACCATTCAATATTATATAGTTCAGATGGATGCTGTAACTCAACTTGAGGAAAATTTTCATTTTGGTAGGCCCTATGCAGTAGGCTAGGTTTTGATCAAATTTTTTAGTAATAAATATTTCAATGGGTTGTTGGTACCAATGTTGAAGTAACATAGTCGTACCTGAGAAACAATAGCCTACATGTGAGTAATAAACAGAAAGAAGCTTAGGGGCCTAGTCTAGGCGTAGGTCTAAATAGTAAAACGACGACGATCCGGGTTTTTCTCAATCCAATCCTGATCCTTGGCAGCGTAGTCATTTGCATTGAAATTTGCATATTTGCTACTATTCCCTGGAATTTAATAACATTTGCTTGGACAGCGATAGGTTTAATTGGGCTAAAGGAGGACTGACCCTCAAAAACTCTATACAGTATCTTTTCAACTACTGTAGGTGAGAGAACGACATTGGATATGCTATGCCAGATTGGTAATAAGGGACCTACTCATTGATTGGGATGGGCGTTAAATGAGTCATGGTGGGCCAGTTGATGAGGTGAAACCCACAGAAATTTGGTCACCAATTTAATGTATATGTGGGTTATATATGAACAGTTAAAACCAAAATGTAGCACAAGAGAGAATGTTGAATACTGGCCCCACCATAAGTTTTGGCCAGACTTTAACCACCTTAAAAAGGACGGCGCATGTTGTGCATTAAGTTTACGAAGTGGATAAGAGATGCAGTCGGCAATCACTTGCTCATGTGTACGTTGTGGTTGGTATAAATCATACATAGTTTTGCTAAATAATAATTATTACGGTACACTTATCGTTTAAACTGAAGGTCCACTGATTAATCTCAGATAAGATAGTATAATACATACTCCAAATACTAAAATGCACGCCATCATGTCGGGATTCAATTTTTCGACATTAATTATGTCATCATCAGGAATGAAAAGTTACTTTGATCAGTAGGGTAAGAATGCTTTGCTCTTTAGTTTATTCATAACTATGTCACCTACCAGAGGTAATGTTTTGATTGGTTAAGCACTTTTGCTACTTGTGCATATAAGCTTGCATATATGGATAATTTTTCATTCCTGATGATGACATAATTAATGTCGAAATATTGAATCCCGACACAATGGCATGCATTTCGATAATTGGAGTATGTTTTTTACTATCTTATCGTTTAAGGTACAAGCTTAATTTTTAGCATATGCTCTATGGCATATGCAAAGCTTTGTTGAAAGCTTCAATAACATAAAAAATGTTCCTGATGGGATAAATTTCAGTATAATTAATTTTTTGTTTATCTTTCCTTTTTTTCAGCCATCGTTTATTCGAAAGAAAGTAAAAGATTCGGACAACGAAAGCATAAAGGAAGAAGAACAACCACAAAGTCAACTGTCAGAACCACCAGAAAATGGGGCAAAGGGTGATGAACAAATAACAGAGGGGAAACAAGAAATAACAGATCAGTCCCCTTCAATAGAGATCTCCCCTTCAGTGAATCAAGAAGTAGATCAAGCTTTAGTGGAAGCCATGGAGCCAGTCAGTCAATTTATTGCAATTCCCCCCTCTGATTTATTTTACGAATTAGAAATTTTGCTTAAAGAAGGAAGAAACCTTGCAATTCGAGATAAAAGCGGTAAGAAATGATTTTCCAGTTTACTATACAATAGTTAATCCTTGAATATATTTCTTGAAACTTAGACAATAAAAAACAGTGGTGGTGCTGCAGGGGAAGGGACTGAAAGCTCTTGTCACCTCAGACTTTCATTGAAAATTGACTCCTATGTCAGGCAGCTTAGCCCCACCCACCCTGTGATGCATTCCTAGAGCCATGGCTGTCAAAGAAGCTGACCTCGCTGTATATAATCTAATGATACTATTTTCTGTGACCCTTATGCTTAACTGATAGGTCATGCCAATGTTTTCACCTGATAGGTGTTTGAAATATTACATGTTAACTATTAAGTACTACACAACATCCAGGTACCAAGGCCTTCAGGGAAACATTAGAAGATGTTTGCATTTGACTTGCGTTTAATAATTCATAATTGATCCAGAATAACTGAGAAAACTGTGACAACTTGATGAAAGGTGTCAAAAACATTTAAATTAAAGTACCAGAAACATTTGTGTCAGGTTTTTGTTTCATCAGATGATTATCTTTATGTTTGTCCAGTTATTTTCTATTTATCTTTTTCATAGACAATTTAGGTTTAGCCAGTTTATGTCCCTTTTATAAATTACGGTATACTGTACTTACTAACCCATACAGTAGGTTAGACCAGTTTTATCTCATCATATATAGTTGGCAGTTGTATGTTAATAAATAGAGTGAAGATATTTAGCTAGTGGAGTGGCCATTTTGAAAATTTAAAAATCTTGGAAAGTGCGAAAATGCCTGATGAGTGGAGAAAGAGCATTGTTGTGCCATTTTTAAAAACAAGGGTGATGTACAAGACTGCAGTAACTACAGAGGCATAAAACTGCTCAGTCATAGTATGGAACTGGGAAAGAGCCAGGCTCAGAGGAACAGTAAGGATTTGCGATCAGCAATTTGGCTTTATGCCTGGTAGAAGCTCCACCAACGCAATGTTTGCCTTAAGAATGCTGGTAGAAAAATATAGGGAAGGTGTGTTTGTTGACTTAGCTAATATTATAGGGTACCAAGAGAGGAGCTGTGGTATTGCATGAGAAAGTCAGGAGTAGCAGAGAAATATGTGGCGCTTGTTCAGGACATGTATCAAGATAGCACCATAGTAGTGAGATGTGCCATAGGAACAACAGAGGTTTTTTCAGTTGAGGTGGGTTTACACCAAGGCTCAACACTGAGCCCTCTCTTATTTTTAGTTGTGATGGAGAGATTTACAGATGGGATGATACAGGAAGCCCCAGATATGCCTTGGAAAAAAAGGGGAATGAAGGTCAGCAGGAAAAAGACTAAGTATATGTGCGTGAATGAAGGAGATCAGAGAGAAATGGTGACCCTGCAAGGAAACCAGATTGAAAAAGTGGAGGAGTTTAAAGTACTTGGGATCAACTGTTCAGAACAATGGTGGGTGTTACAAGGAGATCAAGAAGCGAGTGCAGGCGGGCTGGAATGTGTGGAGAAGAGTTAAACTGGTGTGATCTGCGATAGAAGGGTGTGGGGGAAAATCTACAAAACAGTGGTAAGACCAGCTATGATGTATGGTTTTGAGACAGTGGCCCTAAGCAAAAGACAGGAGGAGGAGATGGAGGTTGCAGAATTGAAGATGCTACTCTTCTCCCTTGGTGTAACAAGAAAGGATAAGATCAGAAATGTATTCATTAGAGGATCTGCTCATGTAAGACGATTTGGGGACAAGTTGAGAGAGGCGAGGCTGAAATGGTATGGCCATGTATGCAGAAGAGACATGGAGTACATCTTAAGGAGGATGTTGGAAATGGAGCTACCAGGTAGGAGTAAAAGAGGAACACCTAAGAGGAGGTATATGGACGTGATAAGGGAGGACATGAAGGAAATAGGTGTGAATGAAGATGATACGATGAACAGGACGAAGTGGAGATGACTTGTTTGCTGTGGCGACCCCTGAAGGGAGAAGCCGAAAGAAGAAGTAAATTTAACTATTTTTACTTTAATCAGTATCTCATTGGAAGATGAATTGGAAAACTTGCTTGATCATTTTAGTTTTTTTTTTTTAGGTTTTATTACTTTCAGTTACAGTTTTATACTAAATGCATTTCAAATGTAGATTAGTTTACATATTAAGTGAATAATTGATATGAATTTACTAACAAAGGTGATTTAATTCTGTAAATGTGAGGGTAATAATGTAAATAAAGGTCATTTTGTAAAATTATGTTTTGTTCATTAGCACATTAAAAAGGAAGTATCAAAAAAAGGTTGTGCTTTAGGTTTCTAATTATTGCACAGTTGTGCGTTAAAATTTAAATGCTACTGTAGGTAGACAAGGCGTTTTTAACATCTTGTTTGTGAACCTGCCGCCTACCAGTAATGATTTCAAATAAAACTTAAATTATATTTTTGACCTGTTAGCCCAAAGTCAATTAAAAATAAATAAGAATTTCAAAAATTAAATCTTTTTGTTAATTGTGTTACGCTTGTCCCCACCATGAAGTCGCTGAATAAGATATCTATATTTGTTCTAAAAATTGAATACTGTAAGCACTACTTACAGGCTGGTAAAAACTTTGTGATTCTCCATAAACTTAGACTTAGTATTAGTCTTAGCGAAGTAGGGTTGCTTTTTGTTGAGAAAAAAATATTTTCTCTCTGCAGGTTTGATTCTCACAAGCACTTATGTACATTTTTTTTTTATGAAAGATGTTTAGTTGACCATTAACAGAGTTTGCAAGCTGGTCACTGCCAAGACATGAATGTAAAAATATTGAAAAATTGCTTTTGTCTTCCGGCAAGACACTTCAATGTAAATTTGTCACTCTTATTACCAAAGGCAAGTTGTGAATGTTATTAATGTCAATTGATCTATGCTGATTCTTATTCAAGATGAGTACAAGGTTCTAAAATTAGATATTACACTCTACAGAGATCAAAGAAGCGCTGGGTTACAAATGAATGTTTATATTCGAATTTGTTTATTACACTCCTGATATTGCTGAAGTTAGCAATACATCAGTAGAGTAATTAAAGTGAGGTGCTTGGAGTTTAACATGCTAAATAATAAGTACTCAATTTGAAATCTTGATAATTTAAGTGTGTCAGTCACGTAGTTCATTATATCTTGGCTGTCAGATTATAAATGAGTCTATACCCTAAGTCCCAGCCAACCACAGAATGGAGAACTGGTGCACTATAAATGCTCGATATTATTCTAATTGTTATTATTATTATTGATAATTAAGTTTTGTCTCTCCCTAAATGATTACAGTACATATTTGTTACTCATCGTAAGTGATATGAATGTGGACTACTGGTGCATCTAGATACTGTATGATTGTGGATACTGTCCTTGAGGCACAGCCACTCTATTACATGGATAGATAGTAGTGGATGTTTATATTTTCATAAAAGGATTTTGACTTGCTTTTTTTTCTGTTTTTATTAAATATGTATTGAGCTAATAATCTAATAATAATAACATGAAATTTAATTTTTGAATTACATTTCCTTTCAATTGAACATTACAAGAAAATATTTTCCTTGCTAATGAATAAGATGCATACTGTGTATGAACAAATTCATGTTGGATTTGAATGATTCTTTTACCATTTTATAGCTGTCATTTTACTGTTTAACCCTGTATTAATAACTAAAAATTAATGTTTGCGACAAGTGACTGGTTTGGCTTATCTTTGTCACATATGTAGACCTATAGTAAAGGAAATAAATAAATTAACAATAATCTACAATTATACACACGTGCCAGTGGTGGCTACAGTAATATGCCAACAGCAGTCCAACATGTCCGACAGGGAGTGTGAATCACTGGGGCCGACTAGAACCTTGGTCAGGATCCTGGTATGAAATTTAATTTGGGATTACTGTGGCTCAAATAGTGATTTTAGATCACAATATTAGGGATTGGCAAATCAAAATAACGTTATTTGGATAGGTAAATTATTATTTTCACTCTGACGATGTAGTCATGGCGTCGGACGACTGAGGGGGTGGAAGATACAACGCTTAATACTTCATTTAATTTTATTTCTAATTTTAACTGATAGCCATGCCTTCAATTGTAATTTTACAATTGTTTTCCATTATCTTTCCTTTTACAGTAATTTGTTTTTAATTTACTTGTAGATACAGTATGTCGCTTCATACACAGAGAGAGCTGGTTTGGCATATTCCTTGTGACTTCCCCAGATAGCTCATTCATTCATTTTCTCATGGTATCTACAGTATTTCAAATCTTTCTCTAACATATACATACATGAAGTAACAAAAAACTGGTTTAAATAAGTAGAATTGCCAAATAAAGTATACTTATAGGCTATAACATTGTAGTAAAAAAGAAAAAAAAAATAAATAAATATAAATAAATTCTGCTTTATAGTCACCTAGTTGGTGACCCCTCTCTCTTTGTCTGGGGTAGTACTTTTAATTGTCAATTTCAATTTGTAAGTGTAGGCCTATATGTATTTTGTTGATTAGGTTAATAATTT